AAAAAAAAAAAGTAGCCACGGCCTCTCTGGCTCCTAAATGCCTACAGAATAAAATTCAGTCTTTGTGCTCTACATTCAAAGCCTGTAGTGTGTACTCTTCATTTGCCTCTCCAGCCTCAATTCTCACCACCACTTCCTCCTGGTCCCCTCAGCATCCCCAACAAGATATATTCTTCAGTCATGTCAAATTGCTTTTTCCTTGTCTTTCACAGCTCAAGACCTTCACTTGAACCTAAAATAATTATTTTATTTACTCAAAGATACTGTTATTACTCAAAGGTAAAATAAAAAGACAAACATAGTACACATCAAACCAAACACAGCTACAGGTCAAATACAGGCATCTATTGGAAGGAGAGGGGAATAATGGAAAAGTGGGAAATTAAAAGATGCTGCTGAGACAAAAGACTGGATTGCAAAAAATGCTGAAATTATAGATGTACAACACTACACCTAGCTACCACATGGTTTCTGAGACATGAACTCTGCCTATGGTTCCTGCTAACTATTCTGGGAACCTGCCAATTAATTCTTCCTTTTAAAAAATTGCTTTTCTGCTTATGTTAGTCAGAACTGAATTTTGTTGCTTACAATAAATAAACTTGACTCATATACCTGATAATGACCTTATCTACAAAAATCAATGGGCAGTGGACTTCTCGTGAGAATTGGAGCAGGTTTTCAATGAGACGGCCTAACCTGACAATAATCTGAGGCATGGGATTCCATCACTCCCTCTCAGGATCCATACACAGAAGTTCTCATGGGTTTCCTTGAAATTTGCACAGTATAAAAGAACACAGACACCAAGAAGAGCTTGCTATGGTAGTTTCCTCACAATAGCCCACCCTGCTTTCTCTCCCTCACTCTTCACTTTTACTTTTTCAAATAAATTTTTGAAAGTGAAAAAAAAAATGGGCAAAGCATCAACCAGTCATGTCTATAAAGTCAATGGGCAAAGGATCAAACCAGTCACAGTCTTACCTTTACTGGTCTTGGACAGATCTCCAGTTGTTTTCTTTTGCAGACCAATGATATCAGCTAGAAAATTAGATGATGGAGGACCCAAGTAGAATTTCTGAAAATATATTAATAGATTCATTCAAAAATGCTTGAAAACAAAGTACTGAAAAGTCTGGACTTATTATCAAAGGTCTACACTTTAGCTGTCTGCATTATAAAATAACTGTCTCTCATTATGTCTTGTAAAATGGATAAATATTATAGAAAATTATATTTTTCAGATCATTTTATATCTACTGTTTCATTGTACAGCATGCCAAGTAATCAGGACAGAAGATATACCAGGTAAAAGAGCTTGAGAGCTCCAGCCTCATACTCACCTAGGCTTAATTTCTAACTCCAGCATTGACTAGCTATAATTTAAGTTTCTTATGCATGAAATGGGATTTAAAAATCATCTCTCCTTGGCGCACACCTGTAATCCCAGCACTCAGGAGCCTGAGGCAGGAGGATTTCTGTGAGTTCGAGACCACAGGGGTCTACATAGTGAGAACCTGTCTCAAAAAAAAAAATCATCTCTCATTGATAAGGTGATGTACACAGCACAATTAATATTGTGAATGGCATATAGAAGGTGTTCAATAAATGGAAGCAGTAAAGAAAATGAAGACTAAGGGAAATTAAATTAGGGCCCAATATGTCAAATTCCTTTAACAGTAAATGGATAAAACAGCACTAGGGAATGGAGGAGGCTATGGGAACATGGAGATGACATGCCTCTTCTCAAGATTACAAGTGATGTTCAGCTCCAGATAAGTTCTAAGAATGTCCAATCTTATGATTTTTTAAAAAGAGGTAGAAAAACACAGATTTTATGGAAATTTTACAATGTCTAAAAATACCACACTTTAAATAAAACAGGGCAATATCAACCCAGGAGCTAGATATTTGGAAATAAGTGTTTTGCCTAGATTACTAAAGACAAATCTAATTTCAGCTTGAGCTGACTCTATTTCTTGTGTTTTCTATATCCTCTGTCACTTGTTCAGCTAGGTTGCCATGGAGCATACTCTCAGATACATGTATTAATCTCAGGATAGGACCCTAATATAGTTTTCTTAACTTACATGTCTGAATGTCTTCCGCAGAAATTTGAACTCCAAATAGAACATGTAGAAATGCAACTGACTTATCCCTTGAAGAATAAAAACCACCACATTGTTCAGGTGGTTTTGTTGAAAAATTTGGCACCAACTGTTGAAAAATCAAACCAATGTATCAAAGAGTAAAGCCCTCAAATCAGTTACAGATATTCACAAGAAAAATATAAAAAGGACAACTAATTAAATGTCTCATTATCACTTCGTCTGCCTAGAACTGGAAGACAGTTATTACTGCAGAGAATTGAAATAAAAATCGCTTGAGATATATATTTATTGCATTCAAATCAAGTAAAATATCAAGTGAAATACATGCATTTAAATCCACTGTCCTACTAAAATGTTTTTCGTTTGTTTGGTTTTTGGGGTTTTTTTGGAACCAGGGATTGAACTTTGCACTTGTGAGGCAAGCGGCAGAACAAGAGCCAAATCCCTGGCCCCTACCTAAATGTTTTAAATCAGCACTAAGCTCACTTGACTAAGTTCACTTTACCACTCTTAAGACTTATCCCCCAAGAGCCCAAACTACTCTGTAGCCCTTCCTAAATCAGGTAATCAAATGGCTAGCTTCAATTGTAGATAAACTGATAGCAGTATTTGTTGATGAGAGAGACGACGTTTGAGTTACCTAGACATTTCATAGCAATCACCTCCAAGGAAAGGTGAGCATTTGAAACTATCTTTATTGGTACATACAAAAAATAATTTTCAAATGGGTTTGATAGTGCATGCCTGTAATCCCAGGACTCTCAGGGCGATAAAGAAGGATCACATGTTCAAGCCCAAAATAAAATAAGGGCTTGAGATGCAGCTTAGAGTGAAGGCTTAGGGTTTGATCCCCAGTACCAAAAAAAATCTATAATGGCATTGACAATATTAAGATACTAAAATTATCTCTCAGTTATTCATCTGTAAAAGGAAGAAAAAGACCAACTAGATAGAGCCTAGGGTTTAGCTCAGTGGTTCTGCCACCTGCCTCCCAAGCACAAGGACCTGAGTTCGATCCTTTGTAAAAAAAAAAAAAAAAAAAAAAAAAAATTGACTGGGTATATACCAGAGGAAAACACTGAGTCTACACCAGGGAAGAAAATAATTGATTGACATTATTTACATATCTTATTATCTCAACTAGGTCTATACCATGGGAAAGAAACTAAAATATCTACAGTGACCAGGCAGATACTGTTAATAAGTGAAGTAAGATAGGTAGGACACTGGAATGCCCTATCCAAGGGGAAAACCACTCAGCTCTGACAAACTGTTTCCAAGTGGGAATATAAAGACAGTTACCAAATCTTTTGAGTTTATTTTTTATTTGGGGGTGGTTTTTTTTGGAACTGGGGATCAAACTCAGGTCCTTTTGCTTGAAAGGCAGGCAGTGGAACCACTGAACTAAATCCCCAGACCTCTTTTGAGTTTTTTGTAGAAACCAAAAATCTGGATTTCTATAAAGAAATTCCCAAATTTAACTGTTGATAGCCAAGACTTTTTTTAAATTTAGGACATGCTATATGGCAAACAAAATATAAGCCATATATAGCCCTCCAAACACCAATTTGAAACTTTTGTCCATACATACAATTTAAGTTAATCTCATACCTGGGTCTAGACACAATGGATTTGCCCAGAACTGCATACTTCAGCAATTCACACAGTTGGCCAGGGGTTACCTCACAATTGGCAGATAAGCGAGCTTTCTGCAAAATAAATTTAGGCAGAGCAAACTATATAATCAACAATGGTAACAAAGCAAAGCAAGTTGTTATTCTAGTTTCTGATTTTTTAAAACATATATACAAACATAGAGGGTTCTAATTAATTGAAAACCAAGGTCTAAAACAATAACTTGATCTGCCAGGCATGGTGGCATATGTCTGTAATCCCAGCACTCTAGGAGGGTGAGGTAAGAAAATCACAAGTTTGAGCCTCATCTGAGCAACTGTCTCAAAAAAGGGAAAAAGATCGGGGGTAGTTCAGTGAGGTTGTGGGTTCAGTCCCAAGTACCACTACCACAAAAAAAAGACAATCTGTGGTACAATGTTATTAATAGAATATTTAATAAACATTGATAAGAGCCTGAATTATGTTTGGTTATATGCAAGTAATGGTAGGATGAATAAAATATGATTCATGGTATAAAGGATTCTATTTCCACTTGAAGAAAAAAATGTGACAATAATTCCAATAGAGTTTGGGTATGGTCTATCACATCTGTATATAAACAAACAGGCTATCAGCCTTGAGGGTTAGAGAGTTTGGGTGATGGCTTTACTGAGAGAACACTGGAGCCGAGCCTTGAAAATAATGAGTCTGCCAAACTGAGAGGAACATTGTGTCCAAATATGTAGTATGGTTTGGCTGATGCTGTGGAGTCAAGATTGAATGTTGCAGAATAGTTGCAGTGGGGGTAAGAATGAAGGAACCAGATCATAGATCAATATAATCTAAAATGAAGAGTCAGAATTTTGCCTATGGCAACAGGCAGTGAAGATCCCCATCTCCTTAAAAAAGCTTTGTACTGGCTATAATCCTAGCACTCAAGAAGCTAAGGTAAGGAGATCTTGAGGTCAAGGTCAGTCTGGGTTCAGCCTGTCTCAAATTTTAAAAAGGGGAAGGGAGACTTTGTACTTATATCTGGTTATTAAAGTAGTTCATGCTTGTTGTAAAAAACTCAGATAATAGACAAAAATAAAATAGATACGATATACAGTAATAGATAAATATAAAACCACCTGTACAACTCAGAGATAATTAGAACTTTTTTTTTCCTCAATACCAGAAATCAAACTCAGGACCTTGTGCTTGCCAGGGAAGTGCAGTGCCGCTGAGCTAAATCCCCAGCCCCAACACTTTTATTTTTGTCTGGGAAATAGCAGAGTATAAGAGTAAAGGATATCAGGCTAAAGCCCTGGAGTCACCTTTACCGGAGTTCAAATATCATCTTGGACAAGTGCTTTAACCTTTTAAGACTCAGTTTTTTCATCTATAGAATTATACTTCTGTCATGAGATTACTAGAAAAACCACTGAGATAGTCCTAGTGCTAATGTATTAAGCTACTGCCTGACATACCATAAGTATTTAATAAGCATCAGATATTATTATTGCTTATTTCTCCCCATGGCTTAAGCTAATGCTGAGCATTTACTTCTAGACAGGTATAAGTTGGAGCATTTTACATGTATTGTCATTTTAATTTCATAATTCTTTTTAGATGAATACTACTATTATCCCCATTTTACAATAAAGAAATGAATAAACAGGACTGGGGTAGGGGGAGTAGACACATGTAATCCTAGATCCTCAGGATACTGAAGCAGAAGAATTGCAAGCTCTCAAGCCTAGCCTGGGAAAATTAGTGAGGCCCATCTCAGAAGGGGGTGGGAATACAGTTCAATATTCCCTAAACTCAATCTTCAAAAAAGAAAAAAAGTTACAGAACATACAATCAAAATGATGCAGACTCCAAAGCCTAAGATCTTTTTTCTCTATACTATACTGTTCCCAAAAGATTTTACCATCTATTGTTTTGTATCCAATTCCCTATCCCCAACTTAATCTGTAATATCTTTCCATATCAGTTCAATGTAACATTAATTTTAATACTTGAATAATTTAAAATTTACCTAAACATTTATAATCTGAAGGAAAGTCCCTATTGAAGACTTTTTAAACATTACAAATATTATGCTCTCTCTTTATAGCATTCTTCTATTCCCATCTAATCATTCTGTCAGGATAACTTCAAAAGCAAAATGAGCACATACACTTTATATTTTGATAAATACTAATTCTTGAATTTAATTTAGTGATTTTTACCAACCAAAAGTGTATTGAGATCAATAAGGTGGGACTGAGCAAGACAGGGGTCTATATGGTAGCGAATAACCATGGTTGCCAATCATGGGATGCTAAATCTGACTAAGGTAGGAAGGGGGCCTTGTAAGAGAAGCAGTCAAGGACTAAGAGTAGAAGCCCAAGATATCCTCCTGGTAGGTTACCCCACTGTGAGGTATCAAAGGCCGAGCAAGGTCAGAAGTGCATCCATGAAGGGGAAGGGGAAAGTAATGAGGCCTGTTACGAGATGTGCAATACTGTTTAGAGTACTGACGATATCACTGTTGAGGGACAGTAATGCCTGCTGCTGTCCATGTGAGAAGGACAATGATAGCAGCCTGTCACAAGAGTGATGAGGGCATGACAAAAGGTGACCTAGTACAAGGTGATGGATCCCAAGCAAGGTAAGGATGTAGAGATGGATGGGGGTGACAATGATGTGTGTAATGATCAAATATATTACAGATAATGGGGGGCCAGGGATTTAGCTCAGTGGTACCACGCCCGTCTCACAACCACAAGGTCCTGAGTTCAATCTCTGGTTGGGGGGGATATAATGGGAATCAGATTTCTCACTATTAGAAAAAATATATATAAAAAGGAAACCAGAATGAACCATGTGGTATTAAACTGGAAGTAGATGAGCTGGGGATTTAGCTCAGTGGTGCCACCTCCTGCCTCGCAAGCACAAGATCCTGAGTTCAATCCTGGGTACCAAAATAATAATAATAATAACAATTGGGAGACAGTAATAGGAAATTTTCAATATGCACATATGTAAATGTAAAAATGTTTATTTCTGGGCTGGGGATTTAGCTCAGTGGTTTGGTGGCCTGCCTTGCAAGCACAAAGACCTGAGTTCAATCCCCAGTAAGAAAAAAAATGCTTATTTCTATATATTTGTACATAAATACATACATATCCCTTAGCTTAATCTTTTGGAGGTACTGGCATCCTATCGGCAATGAGGATATCTATAACCCACATTCTGAGATTCTAAATGTCATTCTTAGTTGAACCAGGTATTCTAGGAGAAATGACTGATTCCAGAGCTGAAGTAGAGAATACACAAAGTAAAGAAAACCACAAAGAATAAAGGAGTCAAAAGCTAGTTAATGACTAAATATTGGATATTTAAGATCAATATATTACAGATGATAACCTAGTCAACAAAATAGTTAACTGGTCCAGAATTCTTCAAAAGCAGTAAGGTGCTGAATGTGAAACTAAGGAACTGTTTGGATCGAAGAAGGTAGGACAACTAAATTTAACATGATTCTAGACTGGATTATACTGCTAAGAGTTAAGCAACCAGAGAAACTTCCACAAGATCTGAGGATTAGATGGTAGCAGCAATATATCTATATTAATTTCCTGGGTTTGATGATTGCATTGTGATTATGTACATCTATTTGTAGCAAATACACAAAAATACCTGGGGAAGGGGAGAAAAGTAAAAAACGCCATGCCAGCAACTATGTACCTTCAAGTGCTGGCTCGGGGGCAGGGGCCATTCCATATTCTTTGCAAGTTTATTATCAAGTGTGAAGTTATTTCAAAATTAAAGTGACAGAGTAAATCTTAAATTTATTGGCATGTTAACTTTTGTTTGTTCACTGATAGCTAAAAAATTGCAATCTCATTCTAATAAAAATTCTTTCATAGCACTAATTCCGGTCTAGCATTCCATATAAATTTATTTATCACACCTACTGTTTATCTTCTGTCTATTCAATAAGAGCAGAAGCCTTATTAGGGCAATGATTTTTCATTTACTCATTGATGTCGCCCAAGTGCTTCGGTCGGTGCCCGGGGTACAAGGCAGACAAAAATCTGATTATTGACTGGGGGAATGAATGAAGTATATTTAGCACTTTAATAAATGCCAGGGATGCCAGTTGTGAATTTCAAAAACAGCCTTGAAGTAGGTGCTATTAATGCCAGAATTCTTTTTTCACAGATCAGAGAGCAGGTTCCGGTGAGAATCACGGGATGGCTCCCCGCTGCTCACCTTGGCCTGGGGCTGCGTGTCCTCCAGAGCCGGACAGGCTCTCCTCGGCTCTGTCGCCCGGACCAGCTGGTTGGGAACCTGCCTCCTCTTCCTGTCCTTCCTGGGGTGCTCCCCAGTCTTTTCCTTCTCTGTCTCCATGAAGCTGGGGAGAAAAATCCGCTAAAACTGATGAAACTCGGAATCCGAGAGAACGCCAGGCACCTGACAGTTTCTGGCCTCCCTCGGCTTCTCCAACCCATTCACTGTACACAGCAGCTCCTTCCCAGCCCACCCTGAAAAGCGAAGACACCCACGGATCAGTCTCAGCCGGCGGACGCCACAGCCTCATCGCAACCACGGCCCGCAGCCAAGACCGTATGGAACCGCCTCCGCCCGCTGGCAAAAACAAAAGGGGGCGCTATCGAGAAGCTTGTCTGCCTAAAACCACTCCCCCAGCCCTTGAGTCCTGGTAAGCAAGACCAGAAGCAGCGTAGACAGGACACCCTGCCGCCGCCTCAGTTTCCGGCACAGACATCGCTGCCTCTCCGCTGCGCTGGGCGTTTGAACGGACCGGAAGTGCACCGGATGATTTCCGGCGATTGCAATTCCAAGAACCGGAAGTGTCCAGGATGGCGACCAAACGGCTAGCGCGGTACGCGGCGGGGTTCCCGGCGTGCTGTTACTCTTAGGCCTCCATTCTGGGTAGCCTTGGCGTCTCTGACCGCACTGAAAGTGTTATACCAAGCCAGCGAGAGAACACCAAGTACCGGGACACAGATAAAACTGAAAGAAGTTTATTTTACACGTGCGAACTTCACTCTTTAAAAGACGTGAAGCCCCGTTACAGGATTCTGCATAGGTTTTATAGGGTTTTTCTAAACAAAAAGTTCAAACGTAGGTCAGGGATGTCTCGCAGCTGCAAAGGTGAGAAGCTTCAGATACCTTTACTTATCTTACTCTTGTCTTACAGGGGTACTGTTTTATAGTCCCCTTTAACATCCCATCTGTTCCCGGGCAGGCTTGTTAATCAAGCTTGCAAATTAGCACAAACAGGATTTTGCAGTTTAAGCAGTTTTCTCTGTTGTTTGATAAGTGGCGGGGTACACAACAGTCTCTGGGGCCATTAGTCGGCCAACATGGAGTCACTTTAGCTCAGTCAGGTCTCACAGAAAGGTCCTTGCCTGGATCTCGGTCTCCAGCCCTCGCCTGCTTTCTGAGCGCGAGAAGGTGGAAGGCGCTTGGGGAACCCTCCATCTGGTCCGCGCGACCCTGAGCCAGTGTCTGGCCATTCTAGACTCTGGAAAGCGCTTGGATTTGACAGCACCCTGTTGCTTGTTGGGAGGTCTCAGGCAGGCGCCTCTGCAACCAGGAAGCTGTCAGCCTCCCTACTTCCAAGTGAGCCTTCCAATTCCTTACGTGGCTCACATTGTGGCCTCTGGTTTCTAAGTATGCTGTTTACATTTTCTGACTTTTAATAGCAATGTAATGTATTAATGAAGAGCATTGGCTTCAGAGTTGGGCTTTCCTGGGTTGACATACTAAAGCTGTGTTCTTTCACAAAAGACCAGTTGGTTTTTTTCAGTCATAAAA